GGGGGGGGGGGGGATGAGAAATGTGTATTAGAAGTTGTATTTATCAATAACTTAAGGCATTTCATAAATATAAACATCATAATATTTAATGATATTTATGGTCAGTTATAGTGATAGGAGTACTCTGTGGAAGTCTATAGAGTTGTGCCAGGGTGTGTGTGTGTGACTTTTAGCCAATTGCTGATTGTGAGGTATTGGGGATAGCATATTTTAACATTTCTAAAACGAAATAAAATAGTTTTTGCATAACAGTACATAATGTATTGATAGTTTTCGATTTTGTAAATAAAGTAAACAGTAAAACATATAATTACCCCCACCCCCAACCAACAAAAAAAAAAAAAAAAAAAAAAAAAAAAAACCCCCCCCCCCAAAAAAAAAAAAAAAAAAAAAAAAAAAAAGAAAACCATACACACACTCCGAAAATGTTAAAAGACAGATATTTCAACTTTTTAAATACCGGTAAACAAAACAAGATCAAACATACCCTGTCATATTCAGAATTCCCCATTATTAGCTACATTTACTAGAAACTGTAATAATAGAAATTCCCGATTATTTGTAACAGTTCCTAGAATCTTCAATAAATTTCTTCAAAAAGCTAAGACGGGAACGGGCTAGCTTTATGCTCTTTGTTAGTTTACTACATCTTTTAAAAAATGTAATTGATTTTTTGGGTTGTTATACTATTAATATAAATGAATTTATGAAAGATATTGTTTACAGACTTCATAAACTGCTTAAGTAACATGGACCCACAACTTGAGAATCACTGCTTTTAGAGATAGATTTTAATTTTAGTTGGTGCAAGTGCTTTTGGTGCACAATATTATCTTTTGTTTTTCTGAAATAGTTAGCGAAATATATCTGCGATGTGAAAGTGGGTGGGACATAAGTATATTAATACAGGATAAAATAATAACTCGTGGGGTCACCCCTTTGAACCTTCCCAACGGACCTCTTTCGAGTCTACTTTATCGAGTGGCATCTTGTTTTAGGACAACCTGCTCTGATGACACCCTGCTCCAGTGTTTTCTTTTTTTTTCAAAATTGGTGGTAAAGCAGTGCAGCTTAAAAAAATATATTTTGGGTCCAGAACTAAAAAATTCCAGACTCTTGCACTAGGATCATTTTGTAACTTAATTTTACAGTGTGGCATTCTCATCAATGTTTTATCCCCCCTGATTATGATCATAAAAATAAAAGTTTCAAGAAAAATCAAGACTTTCACTACCTGTACCGGTACCTAGTTTCGCTTCAAAAGAATTTTGTAAAATATCTCATCTTTTATCAGACATCTTAAAGTTTTTACAGACATAAGCGTACTGGTACAAGTCATTTTATTTTAATTTCTTTACTGACTGTCAGTAAATTTGCAACAGTTTAGAACATCATGTCAGTTGTTTAATTTACAACTGAATTTTCCAACTAGTAATTTTCAGTTTAGTTTTGATAAACATATTTACAGATAATTAATAAAGTAAGTGAATGACAAAAGCACTTGAATTTTTTTAAATATTTTTTTTTTATTAGGATTAAAATTCATACCAAAGTAAATAAAAAAGTGAAATTATTACTTCACTTTTAAAATACATTTAACAAGTTTAATCATAAAAGCATGCTGAACTGATAGTCATTTTTCTCCAGTTCTCTTAACACATTCAAATATTGCTGATAATACTAATATGAAATATAATACAAAAGCAAGACATTATACAATCACCCCTTAACATTGTTAAAATATTTAGAACTTTACAACATAACATAATAATATGGTACTATTGGCTCATGTGGCAAATACAGCAAAAATAAAATAACACAAAACACTAACAGTGATCTATTAAGTAAGATAAGGTCATGTTAACAGAATGCGAGTCAAAGATTTATTTTATCCCAAATATATTATATGTTATCTATTCAACCATATAGAATGGGAGCATATCTTCGTAAGCTGGAATTTCCACATCTGTTGGTAGCATATCCTCATAATCTAAAGGCAGTAAAGGTGCTGTTAGTGGATTATCGTCAAGGTGTAAATTATCTCTTTCCATGTGTGTATTGTGATTATGATCTAACACGTTTCTGGTACCTTTTCTATTTTTCTTCTTCCCATTTGCATTGGATCTCAAAACATCCACCAAAATGAACAGGTTTTCTGAATAATAATTTGAACAATGCAGGAATCTTCTTCTTGTTGTTAGGTCTGCTAACCTTAAGTGCCATAACGTTGGTGATATTTTACAAGATTTTTTAATACCTCTAAAGACAACAGTATGACGTTTCCGGGAATTAAATCCATAGTTTAAGTTTCGCAAATTTTTACGACTAATAAATATGTCATGTATGCGGCAATAACAGTAGTTAGGCCTATGAAAAAGCCTTTTTAAAAGTAAAAGGCAACGGCGCCAACGGCAAAGGTTTATTCGACGTCTTAGTCCTCTTAGTAATGACTGTTTTTTTCCCTCACATCTTTTCGCAAGTTTTTCTATAGGAACACTCAAAGTAATACTAATAGATTCAATGTTCATTCTCCAAAAGTTCTATTTAACAATTACTTTTTGACTGAGTGTAATGAAACATGATGCAATAACTTGAACAAGCAAGGCATTATATACTTACCCCATATTATGGGCCTTAAAAGCAAAAGGTAAATAATATTTCTCAAATTTACCGGAAGTTGCTGCATTTTTCTAATTTCTAGGCGAAAAAGATTAACAGGGGCGAAAACTCTGCCTTTTCAGATGTGACTATTCGTACCCGGGTACCAGAAGTGAGAGGTTGGGATTAAAAAAACTATTTAAAATATTATTGTTGGGCTTGTAAGGCAAAATGAGGTATCAAATGAAAGATAATTAAATGGACTATATGTTTGTAAACTTACTTCTTCAGTTTAACTAAAATTAACTACCACAATTGACATCCGATAGATTGAGTCTAATGGTACCCGGGTGCGAATGGCGGCGCAGAAAGTTTGGGTCCATTTTGACTCAGCTATACTGTTGATAGCAACTAGAAACTATACTAGTCAGATTTACTGACAATAATTAGATTTATACCTCAAACAATGATATTTAGTTTTGAACAACCTTTCAATTGATTCTGCATTGTAAAATTTAAGTGTACAAACTTTTTAACTTGTCCCTTCGAGGATTCCATTTTCATCTCGAAGAGTAATGATTACTGAGTAGTGCCTGCAGCTGCCTTTCCTGAACCTGCTCTCATTCTCATGATAGATTCTATTCAAAGAGCCCCTTATTGTCAAAGAGGTATTTCACACACATCACAACACATCTGTTGTATTTGAACATGCATTTAATATTTAATTTCTACGGGTATCACTGCCAGCGCTGATAACATTACAACATTGCCAATGGCCAATGAATTTGCTTCAATGCAAGTCAGACCTGCACTGGGTTACATGATCAGTATTGGACTTTACACAAACAAAAGAACATTGGCCATAGGATAAGAATACAGCCAAAGAAGTATCAAAAGACTTGCATTATGTTCATGGTCTATTTTTCAATAACCATGATTACGTCAGCCCAGATGCGTTCGGCTACAACACATCTAATACAAAGGTTCTGACTGAACTGCCATTCTTTGTCAATGAGAACTAAAATATAATGCCATGTCTGCAGTCTACTCAAGAATCCTGAAGTACCCTACACCCTAAAGTCTAAAGAAGTTTATGACTATGAGAGGATGAATACAGAATGGATACCATCCACTATAAAACTATAACCTTTTATGCATATTTTAATAATTTATCAGAAAAAAAATTAGAGTCTAAAGGCCAAAGGTCCTGAATATGTAATTTGAAATTTCCAATGTTTATTTCTACAGCATTTTAGAAATTACTTTTTAATTTTATATATGGCACATCTTATTATTTCATTCATCAACAGGTAAATCTACAACCTATCTTTTTAAAGTGAGATTTTGAATAAGCTGTTTCATATTATTTTATTTTGCGTTTTCCATTTTTTTTAAAGGACGTGGGATGAACTAGGGTCAAAAGTATAAGAGCTACATGATACTCACTTTATATGCTTATTTCCATTGATAGGCCTACTATCTACATAAAGACATGTGGCTTTTTAAAAAAAATGTCAAGGGTTTGTTTTTTTACATTATTTTATTTTTTATTTTTTCACCGAGGTCGCATTTGCTATCATTGAGGAAAATTTATATGATTAGTATCTGTTTTTTTTAAAAACCCTTTAGTATGAATTGTGTATGTATATAACCAATGCAACCTTTATATTGTTTAGAGGGCCTGGAATTTTTTTCTAATGAACTTATTACAACTTTTTTGTTATTTCCACTTGAGATTTTCCATTTATCTCTGACGTCAGATGTATTATGAGGAAAAGTATCATTACCACATGCTTCAAAATTTGCAAGGTTGTTTCTATTGATATTCTCTACATAATGATTGATGTTTTTTTATTGCATATCTCAAAAACAAAATTCAGAAGTTTTTATGATCTTATTATTTTTAATAGGCTCGAGGCTAGTAGGTTGTTGGAAAAATGCATTCATTTATATTCTTTCTATTATATCTATGTTCTTACATTTTTTTTTAATTAACCAGTCGAATATGTTAATGATGTATGCATCCAATGTTGTTCAAGTAACTTTTAATTTTTTAATAAGCATTTTTCAGTGTCTTTTTCAGCTTTTATCGACTTAGCATTTTCAATTTTTTCTGACGTCAATGGAATCAGGAATAGTTTTGAAACTACATAATTGAAACTTTGCATGCTTATTTATATTGACATTCTTTACTTAATGATGGATGGTTTTTAAACAAATGTCTCATAGGAAAAATTTTCAGAATTTTTTATTTATATATTTTATTTATTAGATTCGTGGGGTGGCGTTTGAAAAAGTGTGTTAATTTTTTTTAACATCTTTTTTGTCTATGTTTTCACATTGTTTTTTGATTCATGAATGGTATATGTACATGGTGTAAGCATCCTATACCGTTCATGCAGCCTGTAATTTAAAAAAAAAAACATTTTTATACTTCTTTTTCATTTTTCTCAATTTTGCATTTTCCAGAATTTTTAGGAACGCCAAATGAATCAGGAAGAAAAGTATTCTAGCTACAGGCTTCAATTTTTGCATGCTTCTTTTCATTGATATTCTTTACAAAATATAAGAGGCTTTCTTATATATTTCAAATTAGAAAAGTTTTTATAACATTTTTACATTTGCTACCCCTAAAAATTTCTCGACGATTTATGTTACCCCACAGACATGCAATTTGTAACACTTCCAATAAATGCAGTGTAATAAGCTTCTTTAAACTTTTTTTCAATGTTATTCTTAATGTGTATGCAAAGTTTCATTATGATGTGCAATAAAAAAAATTTTTTTATTCATTTTGCGTAAAGGTCAAAATTGGTAAAAAAAAATTCAACTTTTTGCAATAAAAGTCCAACAAAAATTTTTTAAAAGAAACATTTGTGTTTTTTTGTCCTTCTGCTTGTGTATGGTTTCTTTGTACAATTTTTTTTTTTTAAATTAAGAAACACAGAAGAAAAAAAATTTGACCCATGGACCACCTTAACAAACTAAAGATTTAATGAAATGTTTTTCCTACAAATTTGTGTCATTTAAATAGATCAGCACAAAGTAAAATATATTTATAATTTTTTTTATAATATAATTGCCTTTTGTGTGTGTAGGGGGGGGGGGTTAGAAAATGTTGACATAATTAAAATTAAATAGGGGGGGGGTCATTGAAAGTTTGACAGTTGTTTACAAGGGGGAGGGGGGGGATAAAAATTGCTGAAAAATTTTATAATATAATTGCCTTTTGTGTGTGTAGGGGGGGGGGTTAGAAAATGTTGACATAATTAAAATTAAATAGGGAGGGGGTCATTGAAAGTTTGACAGTTGTTTACAAGGGGGAGGGTGGGGATAAAAATTGCTTAAAAATTGTTGACGTAATTAATGGACGACCCCAGTTGAATATTAATGATTTTCTTAAATATTAATATTCTTCTATAAAAATAGCTTCACTATGCCAAATAAATAAATATATTCAAAAACTTGCGGAAAACTTCAAGGACATGGACATTTTCCAAGATCTTGGAAATTAATGACCCTCGTTGGGATCTGGGGAATAATTCTGAAAATCAGGCAAAACCTTTGGAAATCATAACGGAAGATCTTTTATACATATTTCGAAAAACGCAAACATTAAATGTGATAAAATAAAAGTGAAAATAAAGCAAAATAATTTCTTTTTAAATAACAAAGAGAAAATTAATTGTTTTAATTCTTTTATGTATAACGAATGGTTCTACTTTTTAAAACCACACATAAATGAATAACACATCTTCTCAAATTTTTAGTAATGTTTTAATATAGTTTTAATTTACTGTAGCATATTTGTATGGTGAACGAACGGACAGGACATCAGCTTAGTTACTTTCTCTTTATTTTACTTTAATAAATTTTTGTCTAAAAATTGTTTATCCAATCAATCCAGGGGGAGGGGGGGGGGGGCAAGTGCCCCCTTGCCTCCCCCCTGCGGGCGCCCATGTGTGTATTGATATTTTGCATTATAATTAGAAATTAATATAAATTATTATATTTTTTAAAAAACTGTTTATTTCATTTATGTGATTTTTTTTTTTTAAATGTATTGTTAAATAAATTTCAGTCAACTATTGTACCATGTGTTTCAGAGGCATTAAATCTAGAGAAATTTAATTGGTTGTGTTGTATTATCTTGTAAAATATGCATAAATAAATCAGTATTCACTGCAAAATTATTGTTTTCGTTTATGATATGCCTCAGAGTTTAAATAAATTACAAAAGTGAAGGTAAATTTAAAAAGATTTCTAGGTCTCAAAATAATTAAAATAAGCATATTTCAATAAACAGTTCCCGGCGGAGGACCTCAGACCCCTCTTTAGCTCGAGGGTACCCCCCCACCCTCCTTGGGTATGTCCCGTTTAGTCCAGTTCATGATTCGGTCACCCTAATGTACTAGGAAAGACTAAGAGGTTTCGATTCCCAGTCGGCGGGCCCCCCAGTGAAACATCAGATGGACGATACATTGATTTACCAGGGGCATCGCATGAAATGCCATTGGGTATAACGTCGTACCGCCAGCGGGACTAATATGTTTACGGAGAGGAAATTTGGTTGTCTCTTAATTGAGCCACCATCAGAGGTAGACAAGCCAAATCTGTCAGAGGTGTCTGGTTTGTGCGTTGCATCGTTGGCCTCGGTGTTGCTTCGTGTGTCGACACATTGACCGCACAGCCAGGCAGACGTCATGGACAGCCAGACGATTTCGTCTTCTCAAAGACTGCAAATAATTTTTCAATTTGAAGGGCACACTCCCTGGTTCACTGCTATGTTCTTTTAATGCAAATACCAGCTGGTCACAGACATGCAGAACTCTTTGGCGTGCGAAATGACAGAATGTCTTTCTTGGCCATGGTCACAATAAAAAAAATTATATCTAATTGTGTATGGGTTAAATAATCATTTTCAATCCAAATGTTCAAATATATCAAGGTGAAAAATGTTTTGATGTATTTGTATGTATATATTCATATTATTCTAATAATCCCCCAATCTTCCTCTATGTATTTCGGTCCTATGAATAGTAACCTCATTCTGAAGTTCGCGTCCATTGAAATGAAAGCTGCCTGCAATTGTGAGGAACAACAAACAGGCTCTTAGTTCTTGGTTTGAATTGTCTTAAGAACTATTAAAATAAATTGACATCTGTAAGAATCTCATGTTGTCAGTGTTTAACGGTGTTTATGATGAAGGCCAACAAGTTCACATTTCGGGTGTGTTTAGAAATTTTCAAGGAAAATAACCGCTGAAACAAAATTGAACCATGAGAATAGGCATTTACGCCCCTTGGGTAATCTCCCGTTGTTTTTTCTTTTCTCCTCTTCTCTGTTCTCTATTTTTTAAAATTTAGTTGTCCAATGCATCGCTCTCCACTTACCAGTGCATATGCTAATCTCAAACCCAGAAGCCCAGAGATACGGGCAAAAACCAAAACAGTTTAATTACATTTTGCATTGTCCCACCCACCACAACCACCACCAACAACTCACTCCTACAATGTCTCGCTTTGGGGAAAGGGGGATGTTTTTTATAGTTCATTCGTTTCTTTTATTGACACTCTTCACTCTATGGTGGCATTATTCTTTTCATGACCTTGACCCACGGCGATTTCTCCCGAGAGTATTTTCATGCCTCTCAAAACGTCTTGTTCTTTCTCTTCCACCTCTCTCCCCTTGATGTCGGGGAGGGAAAAATAAAGCTTCTCCCAGAACCACGGATCTCCGAATTTCAGATAGGTCTTCGACTTTAGGTGGACCTGCAAGAAAAATCCATAGTGGATCTTAAAGGCTGTTAAGAAAATCATAATTATACTTTTATTTAAATTATATTTCAATTTCAGTCAGACGATAATAGGTTGAGGCGGTGAATTTGTCTGCGTAATATGTTATACATGAGGTCATAGCAGAGATATGAAAATAAGACTGATGCTAAACGATAGAATATCATTCTTTAAAATCTTAACTTTTCCAAACATACCTTAAAATAAAAGTAAACTTGCGATATGCGTTGATGATAATAAAATTAATTATATGAATTTTCAGTGAATGATTTTTTTAATTTTTTAAAAGTTTCATTTCATTTCATTCTTTTTTTTTTTTTTTTAACAAGGACCATAAAATATCTTTAAAAGTGTGGTTTGTTTGGCACAGGGGACGAATTACAAGTCAGTATTTGCACCCCTCGTCTAAAATAAAAGTAAACTTGCGATATGCGTTGATGATAATAAAATTAATTATATGAATTTTCAGTGAATGATTTTTTTAATTTTTTAAAAGTTTCATTTCATTTCATTCTTTTTTTTTTTTTTTAACAAGGACCATAAAATATCTTTAAAAGTGTGGTTTGATTGGCACAGGGGACGAATTACAAGTCAGTATTTGCACCCCTCGTCGGTTCTACTCACCTTTAAGTCTGGGTCCAGCATATCATCGGGGATGTTTCCAAGTAATACCACAATAAGTCTGTGAGAACCTTCGCAGAGTATGTGATGGTGAGCGGTCTGAGAAAACAATGGAGAAATTAAAATATGATACCGAGGATTTCTGTGAAATCTTAGGGATCAAAATTTAAGTTGTACTGTATTGTCAACTTGTGTTCACATTTAAATACATTTATGCAGTTTTTTTTTTCTGTTCAGGTTTTTCTAGCGTTATGTTTTCATAACGAGGCAGAGCCATCGCTTGACTTTTGGAGGTCCTATGCCATTTTGTTTAGTTTTATGCTTCTGCATTAAAATTTGAAACAATTTTTACCACCTCACAACTTTGGGTCATTAAATATCTGAGGTCCCCCGAAAGATTCGCAGAGCCCATCGACAGTAATGGAAATATATATTTTATATTGAATACTTCTATAATATAGGAGTCCAATTGCAAAACCTGCAAAGTAACTTTAAAAAAAAATGAAATTACTATTTTGGTTGGTTTGTTACGAGTTAATCTACAGTATTTTATAATTTAATGAATAAAAATCTTCACTTCGAATCTAAATGTCAACATACAAATATAAATGATATATTAGCTATATAACTTTAATTACAACACTTTTTCTCATGACCAATCGGATGTTACTTAGCAGTTTTTGCATTTGGACCCTAAGCACATACTATTTTCTTTCCCATACCTGGAACTCAAAGCGGCACCATTCACTCTCGAGGAAGTTCCGTGACAGCACCAAAACCGTTCTGCTGCTCTCTTCTATAGCCTTGAAAATGGTGTCTGTGATGTTGCGGCCCACCGGGAAGTCCCGATAATGAACACATGTCCGATACCTATTCATTCATGGAATCAATTGAATTTTTTAGAAAATTGTAGACATACACGTAAATGGTGGAGGCCCCATGAGCAGTATTTCTTTTAACATTGAAAGTTCAACCAATAGTTGAAAGTTCAACCAACAGTTGAAAGTTCAACCAATAGTTGAAAGTTCAACCAATAGTTGAAAGTTCAACCAATAGTTGAAATTTGAACCAACAGTTGAAAGTTCAACCAATAGTTGAAAGTTCAACCAACACTTGAAAGTTCAACCAACAGTTGAAAGTTCAACCAACACTTGAAAGTTCAACCAACAGTTGAAAGTTCAACCAATAGTTGAAAGTTCAACCAATACTTGAACGTTCAACCAACAGTTGAAAGTTCAACCAACAGTTGAAAGTTCAGCCAATCGTTAAAAGAGCCGTATCCAAATAATAAGGCTTAAGGATTTATGGAAGAAAAAAAAAACGGAGCTTTAGCATAGATTTTGAAAAGAAACTGGGATAAGTGAAATTGGATCATAGAACTTTACTGCTATTTCCAATATGGACATCCAAAACTCTAGTAGCTTTGAACTAACTGATTCTAAAAGCAACGGGAATTCCTAGGAACAGTACATAAAGCACCTTCTTCAGAAAGTCACAGTTTTCCAGCCGGCTGATCCTTCATTGTTTTGTTGTTTTTTAAAATTTAATTACTGGTAATCCGCGATCGGAAGAGTACGATAACAAATGGAAAAAAAAAAAAAACACAAATGCAAGCGGAGTTAGTTACCCTTTCTTGTCCAATTCTGGAACTAGGGCTTGTGCCACAAACTCGCTATCTTTGCTACTGTAAGAAATGAAGGCATCAAATGATTTGGTACCAGCATCCTGTTTGTCTATATGGGCCTGTGGGAAGACAACGAGTGTATGTTGGGTTTTTTTTTTTTTACAACAAAGGCTAAATACTATTTTGGTTTTCGTATAAAATTCAACCTGGACACAGGTCAATAACAAGGGATATATGGAACGTATCGTACAATTTTAATATCTATTAAACTCGTTGTCATTATTTTATTGGTGTAATAATTTTTATACCTTGCGTTATAACTCTCATGTCATTGATTCTATGAGAAAACAACAACTAAAGATCAATAATAAGTATAGCTTTGTTCATCGAAAGATACCATCTCAAGTGTTGTTTATGAAGCATTAAATAAACTACAATCTACATGATCAAAACATCTTTTTAAAAACTACAATCAACATGAACATACATATTTTAATAAACTGCTATCTATATTAAAAATAAATCTTTTTTTTAAAAACAAAAATGTATGTAATTTGTTTTTTTTATTTATGTTATTTTGTTTAATCAAAATCCATAAAACTGAAAGAGATTAGAACAAAAATCACTATTTTATGCTCTTTGAACAAAATTTATCCCTGAAAGGATATGAAATTATTCCTAATGAACAAAATGATATAAAGGGATATGTTCACTAACCTTCTTGTCGTAGACTCGAACACCTATGTTCACAAACAGCCAGGCCTGGAGCTCGCGGCCTCGGACCATGACGAGAATCGCGAGAGTGACCAGCATCAACAAGACGAGGATGGCGACCACGAGAGCGACGAGCAGTGTCGTTGACTCGGCGTTGGTCACGTGTTCTCCACCCGACACGTTCCCCACCCTCAGGACGCACAGACTCTCAAAGTCAAAGCTTAACACGTGGTGGCAGCTGTTGCGGCCCGCTACAGTCACGTCTTCGTTAGATCCGCCCGTTGCTCCCGTCGGACGAATTAAGTCGTGCATGTTTTCAGCCCCGTCCAGCGCGCCTTCGTATGTTTCCGTGCCAACGCCAACAAAACAGCACATTTTCGGCCTGTCCAAGATGACGTCATTGAGCTCGTGGACCAGCCTGAGGACGTCATGGCTGTTGTTGCACGGACACGCCCACGGATTGCCGGAGAGCGTCAAGGCCAGAAGAGAGGGCGTTCTGCACACGGCGTCCAGCACGACCAGCCGGTTGTCGTGGAGGGTGATGGTTTCGACGGCGGTCATCCCGACGAACGCGGCTGGCGATATGCTCGAAATCAAATTGTTGTGGAGGTAGAGCTCTCGTAGCCGAGTCAACTTTCCGAAACTCGCGTCTGATAAGCTGGTGAATAAATTGTCTTCGAGTCTTAACGTAACGAGAGCTGATGTATTCGCAAAAGCTCCGTCGTCTATCGTCTGAATTCTACTTCCGTTGAGGTATATCACTTCCACTTTATAAAGGTGGCCGATGTCGGTGGGACTTATTCGGGTGAGGACGTTACCGTCTAGATAAAGACCGGTTGATCTAGAGGGAATATTCAACGGAACATGACTCAAATTGAGATACCCGCAGTGGATGTGGAAGTAAACCTTCTTGAAGCCCGTGCCAGCGGTGAAACACTTGCATTCCGACGGGCAAGTCAAAGCGCAGGGACACGACTCGTTCGACGAGCAGCAATCGCAGAGGACGTCACAGTGCATCTCCCTGTACTCACAAGCGAAGTGAGACAAAGGCACGTCATGGAAAGGACGCACCGAGTTTCCTTCGTAAGGTGTGACGCAGTGGGCTGTGTCGAGGCCCCTTATCTGTGGATAATATCTGTTAAAGACGTCTATGCTGTAGCCGTCTTCTTCGATGACTTTCATGTAGGCCATTTCACAGCTGCATTGAAATGTGTTGAACGCGAGCTCGAACACCGGTTTCGGCTTGTTGTCTCTGAAGGAGTTTATCGCGTGCATCGGAAGTAACAGCGCGTACCTGCTGCCCACCAGGTCCACGGAAATCAGATTCGGGAGATTTTTGAAGCTCGTCGAATAGGCCTGACGTATGTCGTTTTCCCCCATCGTCAAAATCTGAAGAGACGGAGGGAACCAGTTCGTTCGGATCGACGTGAACCTATTTCGGTGAAGGAACAGGTAACGCAGATCGCGCATCTCCGCGAACGGGGAAACGGTTTCAAAGTCGGTCATCGAATTGTTGTCCAGCCGAACAAACATGAGTCGTGGGTGGTGACCAAACGTGCCGACGTTATTAATTCGGTTGTTGTGCAGCAAGAGCTGCAACAGATTTGGACAGCACGCGGTGACAAGGTCCGGGACGACGAACGTCAGGTTGTTGTCGTTGGCGTCGAGAAGCTGCAACTCCCCGAGACCTTTCAGCTCAACTTCGGTCAGCGATATCAGTTGGTTGTAGCTGACGTCCAACGTGTTCAGGTTAGACAGGCGAGACATGTCCGGCAGCAGCGAGAGTTTATTTCGTTGCAGGCGTAAGGTATGCACAGACCTGAGGTCTGAGGAGAACGTATCGTTTAAGCTTTGAATGTTGTTGTGGCTCAGGTCCAGGAGAACCAGGCCGGTGAGCCCGTTGAAGATCATCGGACCGAGATGGTGTAGTTCGTTGTGGCTAAGATCCAGGACGACGAGCTTGGCATTGCTGGCGAATAGATCCCCGGGCAGAGTTTTAAGACGGTTGCGGGTGATGTTGACGAGGAGCAGCTCGGGCTGGTGCACGAAGGTGTTGCTGTCAAGCGTGGAAATCTGATTTTCTCCGACTCTTAGGATTTTGAGTGCGGGCAGCAGTGAGACGTCGACTGATGTCAGATTGTTGCCGGACAGGTCTAACCTAACAAGCCGGGAAGAGTTTAGCTGTGTCCATATCGTGTCGGTGATTCCAAAGTGGACAAGGGACAACTCTTCCAGATTGGCAAGGGAAGACAACCCCGTCAATTGTACCTCGTTTCCTGCACCACATAAATGGAGTTTTTCAAGATGGATGGCTAAATTCAGTCTGTAAAATAACATTGATAAATATCAATACATCAAAGATAAGAAAAATGTGAAAACTGTTTACAATTATGGGTAAGTGTAAAATTCAAAAATGTAAAAAAAGAGAAAGAGCGAGAGTGTGAAGAAAGGGAGAGAGAACGAGAGAGGTGAGAGAGAAAGAGTGATAGAAAGAGAAATATAGAGAAGGAAAGAGAGATAGAGAGAAAGATATGGAAAAAGAGTGATAGATTTTTAAAAAAAGAAAGAAAGAACGAGAAAGAAAGAAAAAAAATGGAAGAAAGAAAGAGAGAGAGAAACGGTATGAAGGAAGGAATATAGAAGGAAGGAAAGGGAAGGAGTAAGTGATGGAAGGGATAGAGAAGAGTGAGAGACGGAAGGGTGAGGGAGTGATGGATGGAGTGACGGATTGAGGGAAGGATGTTGGAGGGGCGGAGAGAGAGAGTGAATAAGAAGGAAAGAGAAATTACGGGAGAAAAGGGGCAAAGAAGAAGATGAAATGTTGGAAATCAAATTTAAAAAAAATGAATGGGGAGAAAAGCCAAAAATAATGGAGAGAATGAAAAGCTAGAAAGAATGTGAAGAAGGAAAGGCAAAAAGGATGGAAGGGGGAGAAATGACAGAAAGGAAGGTGGATGCAGTAAGATATTATTGAATGAAGAGCTGACTTCAACAAAATAATGCTTTTACCGTGGAATTTCAACAACTTCAAATTTATTTTCTCTGGCGTCCAATTCAATCAAATCTCTTAGCTCCACGTCATCGGGAAACCGAAACTGAGCAAGGGCGAGTAAGCCTTTCATGTACAGCAGCTGAACGCTCGGTGCGCCCCTGAGTAACGTCAAGGGCAAGGACCGGAACCTATTATGGCTAAGCTCAATTAACGTTAAATTCGGGTGCAAGCTGTACTGGTCCTTTGAATCCGTGCCATCTCCGATCGCGTGGATGTTATTCTTGGAGATGTTTAAATACCTCAGCGACGTCATGTGCGATATGTCCGGTAAGACCCCTATCCCGGTGCCAACCACCGTAAGACGTTCCAGTTTCGGCAGGTGCACAAACGTGCTGAGTTCCAACTCCGGCAGGGCCGTGTCGACGATGCTGATCGCCTCGAGGTCAGCCAACCCGGCGAACGAGTCGGGCGTGAGGATGGTAACGTTGCACAGCTCGATGGACAGCGATTTCAGCCGGACGAACCTGCTGAGCATTTTCGGAGACAGCATGCTGCGTCGCGACTTACTCTCGCACATCAGCGTCAGCGACTCGACGTCGGGCGGGAGTGACGCGAAGGTCGCGTCGTACGAGACGATGGAGCCGAGGTCGCAGGCGAGTTCGTAGCTGTAGGTCCCACCGATGTCGGAGCACTGGCATCTGCTCAGCGAGCAGGCAGGTGGGTACGCGAGCGCTGGTAACACTGTCAGGAGGCACGCGAGGAGGGAAGTCAGCAGGCGACTCATCGCGTTTGTCGATGAAGGCGAAGTCTGGAAAGTGAGGAAAACATAACTGTGTGACACGTTTAGATCATTTCTTTCAACCAAAGGTTAGGGTTAGATTGAAAATGAGCAATGTCAGAGTCGGTGAGATTTTCAGCTTCAATGGGACAATTTAGATTGTCAGAGAAGATAATATGAATTTGTTATCATAAAAAAAAATAATAACTTAAAAATAAAAATTTAAAAGAAAGAAAGAAACGGCTTGGCAACTTTTAAATTGGAAACTTATCAATTACAGTGCCCAGCACACACTAATTCGGTGTCTGAAATGTTGGATTTGTCTCTAGGTTTATTTGACCCGTTTATTCAAAAATAGAATACTTTTTTTTTCACCCTATGAGCTTTAGTTTTGTAAGAACTTGAACAAATGTCATTTCAAAGAATGGAGCATTACAGGACAGATTTATCAAATGTGTGTGTCTACATTAAAATGTCCTTATTCTGTACCAAAATGATCAATACATTGATCGTGGGCCCTTAAGAAATAGAAGAAGAAGAGAACAGATTTACTGGAGACTTCGTATTACCATTCTACACAAATGAAGCGCCTTTCGTTAGACTCCTTACGGAAGGATCTGCCAAGACAATGCCGCATAAGAAATCGAAAACAAAAATTTCCTTCATTTGTTCAATGTATCTTTCTTTGTTTCTGAATGCCGTTGCATTCAAGTTTCAAGATGAAATCTTTCACTTCACTCTTGCTTAAGGTTTTTATAAGTATTTGAAATAAAGTTGTTGTTGATTTTTCCAAAGAATAAATGAAGACCGGTCACATGATTCAATTCCATTCATTCAATTCATACGTTTACTGATCTCTCCAGCTTCCGGCTTTATGATAAATCCATATTCGATGTGCAATGGAAGTTGTTATCAATTCATTTACAAACTATTTTATCAGATGGTCTTAGATTAAATATATGTGCAGTTAAATGATTCTACCTCTCTTGACCCGAGCTCCATTGTTTACATTTTCCCCCCGACCCGGTCATATCTCCCGCTTGGGCTAAGGCTCTCTTGGCTCTACTATCCCAAAGACAAGAACATCAAGAAAACCCTTGTAGCCACTATGTAAACCAGGACGAACATCAAGAAAACCCTTGTAGCCACTATATAAACCAGGACGAACATCAAGAAAACCCTTATAGCCACTTTGTAAATCAGGACGAACATCAAGAAAACCCTTGTAGCCACTATGTAAACCAGGACGAACATCAAGAAAACCCTTGTAGCCACTATGTAAACCAGGACGAACATCAAGAAAACCCTTGTAGCCACTATGTAAACCAGGACGAACATCAAGAAAACCTTTGTAGCCACTATGTAAACCAGACGAACATCAAGAAAACCCTTATAGCCACTTTGTAAACCAGGACGAACATCAAGAAAACCCTTGTAGCCACTATGTAAACCAGGACGAACATCAAGAAAACCTTGTAGCCACTATGTAAACCAGGACGAACATCAAGAAAACCCTTGTAGCCACTATGTAAACCAGGACGAACATCAAGAAAACCCTTGTAGCCACTATGTAAACCAGGGTTAATGAAATAATTTTTAAGTCCGCAAATGTCACCCAACGCATCAGTGGCGTGGCTAGGGTTAGTGCCACCCGTGTCGGGGCAAGATTTTGCTGCCGCCCCTCGACGAAGACATCTCTGCAGTTGATCGAAAAAGCCACCCCCTCCATGTAGAGAAAATAAGTACCACCCCCTTCGCGCCTCACCTCCCTACGTCACTGCCAGCGACGTTTTGGTTTTTCTTTATTAATTTATCTTTAGAAAGATTAAAGAGACGCCCGTGTATTCTGCTTCCATCCTGTGATTGCGATTGGGAAAGAACCGTATTTGTTGCAATTCCTTACAAGAACAAGTTTCAAACTACGCCGCCTTGAACTGTCTGTTCTGAACTGAATAGGGTGACGTCTATTCTGAACTGAATAGTGTGACGTCTATTATTCTGAACTGAATAGTGTGACGTCTATTCTGAACTGAATAGTGTGACGTCTATTCTGAACTGAATAGTGTGACGTCTATTCTGAACTGAATAGTGTGACGTCTATTCTGAACTGAATAGTGTGACGTCTATTCTGAACTGAATAGTGTGACGTTTATTCTGAAATATAAAAATGAGCTTCAGAAAGTTTCTGTCATTGCATAATAATAAGTCATGATGGTCGGTTTCAAAAAATGGCAGCATATCCTTCAATCCCCTTTGATGAACATAATGTTTGTTCCAGGCTGAAGTACAGTATTTTCCATAAGTCTGGACCCAATATACGTTCAACTGGGGAAATAGCTCCGTACAAGTTTTGCATACAATATGCGGAGACCATCGCCTATGTTGATTTGCAAACAAGGCACCAAATAAACTTGACCTGTTCTTTTGTTCAAACTCAAGACATGTATTTATTTATTTATTTATTTAGGCATTTTTATATAGCGCTTACCTTAAAGCTCTAAGCGCTTTACTATTATTAAAAACATGTAAACTAAGTAAAATAAAAATGAGACATTAGGATAGTAACTACTATACTATAGAAACAATTTAAATGGCTATAAAACGAGGACACTTTGACACGTTTTGGCCTATATTACAGAAGGTTTCACAATGACGGATATGGAAGGGGAGCTGGTGCCAGAACGTGGGCCCATGGAAGTAGAAGGAGCGTTCACCGATGGTCTTAGTTTTGAAAATACAATCTATGTGCAGCTGTCTCAACAGATCCGGCGTGGAAATTTTAGAAATGAAAATCTATATGTAGTCTAATACGATAATGTCTTAAGTATATAAATATTTTGCACATCTTAAATAAATCAGTACGAAGATGATTTTGTCCAATTTTAAAGCAATGTGTATTAGAGCAAGTAAGTAGACAAATGTCTTAATACACTTGCAATGTGTATTATTATAAAAAGTAAGTTTACAATTTTCTTGATACACATGCAAAATTTTGTTGATTAAAATTACATTTTTTTTCAAATGTAAAAAAAAAAAAAAAGCGTTTTGTCTGTTATTTTCTTAATTCAGCAAAATTGACCCTAAAATGCTTGTTTGGAGAGAACTGTTTAACAAATTGACCCTAAAATGCTTGTTTGGAGAGAACTGTTTAACAAATTGACCCTAAAATGCTTGTTTGGAGAGAACTGTTTAACAAATTGACCCTAAAATGCTTGTTTGGAGAGAACTGTTTAACAAATTGACCCTAAAATGCTTGTTTGGAGAGAACTGTTTAACAAATTGACCCTAAAATGCTTGTTTGGAGAGAACTGTTTAACAAATTGACCCTAAAATGCTTGTTTGGAGAGAACTGTTTAACAAATTGACCCTAAAATGCTTGTTTGGAGAGAACTGTTTAACAAATTGACCCTAAAATGCTTGTTTGGAGAGAACTGTTTAACAAATTGACCCTAAAATGCTTGTTTGGAGAGAACTGTTTAACAAATTGACCCTAAAATGCTTGTTTGGAGAGAACTGTTGAACAAAAAAAAATAATAGTTGTCTAGTTGTTACGATATATTTGATGCAATTTTCAAAATAAGTGCCGCAATTAGCATTAAGATCAGACCTAACTCCCAAGAAACAAAGAAAACTATTTATAAAACTGTAATCAGACTAGTTGTAACATATGCAAATGAAACATGGACCCTAACAAAAACAGCAGAAAACCAATTAAAAACATGGGAGGGGAAAGTTCTCAGGAAAATATATGGGCCCACAAAGGATGAATATGGATGGAGAATACGAACCAACCATGAATTGTACAGTCTATATCAGGATCTCACGATAGTAGCAGAAATAAAAAGAGGCAGGCTACGCTAGGCAGGACACTCAGAGAGAATGCAACATGACAGAGGAACGAAGAGGGTGCATCACCAATACCCCAGAGGAAAAAGGCTCAAAGGCAGACCTAGGCTTAGATGGATGGATGATGTGGAAAAAGATCTACAGCAGCTGAAAATCCAAGCATGGAAAAGAAAGGCATTAGTTAGGTCTGAGTGGAAGGAAGTGGTGAGGCAGGCCAAAGCCCAACATGGGGTGTAGCGCCACAGGGATGGATAAATCTCAAGAAAACAAGTTGTTGTTTCGGAGCAGGGTAGTGTTCTTTGTACACCTCCTCTTTTAATTTTGGTACCTCGTAGCACGGTGTCTTCACTGTATCATTACCAATCTAAGACCAAGACAGATAACACCAAGATTTGTCAAACAAAGATTCATTAGACCAAGATTTGTGAGACAGAGATTTATTAGAGAAAGGTTCATTAGACCAAGATTTGTGAGACAGAGATTTATTAGACAAAGATTCATTAGACCAAGATTTGTGAGACAGAGATTTATTAGACAAAGGTTGCTTGGAACCAGAGACTCGATGCTTTTTAAGTTATGGCTTCATGGGGAAAATAAATTCCCAATCAGGGAACTAACTTTTTTTTTTTTATGATAAACATTATTTACCAAACGTTCCCCACGATACGAACTATAATCTTTACTACATTCGAATAAGACAATTTTAAAGGCTCTCACAAGTTCACGAATCAAAGGGAGCACTTATAATGTGATAGTTGAATTGGGTCAAGAGGCCCTTAGCCCCTTTAACACAGTGGCGGTGTTCGGCGGTTGACGCTGCTGTTTTAACAACATCTGAAGAGCACTAGCTGTGTCTACTGACAGTAACAACGTGTGAAGAGCGCCAGCTGTGTCTACTGACAGTAACAACGTGTGAAGAGCGCCAGCTGTGTCTACTGACAGTAACAACGTGTGAAGAGCGCCAGCTGTGTCTACTGACAGTAACAACACGTGAAGAGCGCCAGCTGTGTCTACTGACAGTAACAACACGTGAAGAGCGCCAGCTGTGTCTACTGACAGTAACAACACGTGAAGAGCGCCAGCTGTGTCTACTGACAGTAACAACGTGTGAAGAGCGCCAGATGTGTCTACTGACAGTAACAACGTGTGAAGAGCGCCAGCTGTGTCTACTGACAGTAACAACGTGTGAAGAGCGCTAGCTGTGTCTACTGACAGTAACAACGTGTGAAGAGCGCTAGCTGTGTCTACTGACAGTAACAACATGTGAAGAGCGCCAGCTGTGTCTACTGACAGTAACAACGTGTGAAGAGTGCTAGCTGTGTCTACTGACAGTAACAAAATGTGAAGAGTGCAGCTGTGTCTACTGACAGTAACAACATGTGAAGAGCGCCAGCTGTGTCTACTGACAGTAACAACATGTGAAGAGCGCTAGCTGTGTCTACTGACAGTAACAACATGTGAAGAGCGCTAGCTGTGTCTACTGACAGTAACAACATGTGAAGAGCGCCAGCTGTGTCTACTGACAATAACAACATGTGTAGAGCACCAGCTGTGTCTACTGACAGTAACAACATGTGGAGAGCGCTAGCTGTGTCTACTGACAGTAACAACGTGTGAAGAGCGCTAGCTGTGTCTACTGACAGTAACAACATGTGAAGAGCGCTAGCAATGTCTACTGACAGTCCGGATGTCTCACCGCAGAGGGTTAGCGATCTGGGATCATGACAAGGTTGCCTCAAAAAGAAATCAATCCGTGCACTTTACCAATAGCGAATACCAACAGTCATTACAGTACACAGGGTCGTGAACTCTGATGCAGTTTTTTTTTTTGGGGGGGGGGTGGGGGAAGGGGGAATTCAACTACCTTAAGTGAAAAATGGGGATCCATTTTAACTGTTACGCTGAAACATGTGATATAAGTGAATTTTAAATGTATGCTACAGTTAGTGAAAATATACTAAGGCACTTCAAAATATGTATGCTACAATTTGGGGAAATATGCTATGGCACTTCAAAATATTGTAAAAATTAAATTTTTAGTTTTCTGATTTCTACTCTTTTTCTGGGCTGTCCCCCACCCCTCTTTTTTAATCCACCCCTCCCCGGCAAAAAGATGTTAGTAGCTCCGGTGCAGAGTCAAAACTTGCGGGGCTGTGCTAGGGCTGTGCTAGGGCCGTGCTAGGGCTGTGCTAGGGCTGTGCTAGGGTCGTGCTAGGGCCGTGCTAGGGCCGTGCTAGGGCCGTGCTAGGGCCGTGCTAGGGCCGTGCTAGGGCCGTGTTTGGGCCGTGCTAGGGCCGTACTAGGGCCGTGCTAGGGCCGTGCTAGGGCCGTGCTAGGGCCGTACTAGGGCTGTGCTAGGGCTGTGCTAGGGCCGTGTTAGGGCCGTGCTAGGGCCGTACTAGGGCCGTGCTAGGGCCGTGCTAGGGCCGTGCTAGGGCTGTGCTAGGGCTGCTAGGGATAAGATGTGTCCACGCCAATGACTGACTTGCCAGCCTTTTCCAAAATAATATCAATATGTGTGTGTGTACAATTAAATCAATAAATATTTCCAATTGTTTGGATCATTAAAGAGACTTATTCTATCTTAAATTCAGGAATCTCGACTTTTTTGGCACCTCTTGATCCAGGCGTCCAGACCTGCGCCACCTTCAACCCCCCCCCACCCTTCTTTTGGGCGTTTTACATTACCCTGAATGCATGTACCACTCATTCCTCACCCAACACATCTTTGATGTTTTAATGTGTCATGGTTTCTGTCTGGGCTTAAACCACGTTTACCTAAGCACACTAGCACACTTACGGACACGCCCGAAGCAGATGTGCTGTGAGAATGTTTGTATAAATAAATACCAGACACATGGTGTACATTCTTACCGACAATAATTTCTTCATTTTCCCCTTCCCTTAAGTTTTTATTTGAGTAAGACTTAGTTATTGCTACCGTACAATGAAGCTATTCTTACACTTGCCCGGAAAATACATTACATTTTAAATATTTCGTACCAATCCGATCTACTGAAATCAGTGGCGTATCTATGGTAAGTGCCAACCGCGGCGGGCAAGAATTTTTGCCACCCCCACCCTTTTCCAAGAAAAAACTTGGCAGTAGGCCTAAAATGCCGCCCTTTCATGTAAATGAAAAATGCCACCCTGGGAGGACCATCTAACTGTGACCACCTCCTATGCCAATGAGCCATAATGCGAAACAAATGAGCTCTAGCGATACACGTCTTGTCACTTGTACAGTAGTTGTCTGGCGTTGATTCTGTAAGGTCATCAAAGATAACGTATACTTACCGTGCGAGACTAAGTCATAAAGGCGTACCGCCACCACAGCTTTTGTTCAAATATCCCTGTGCATTTGTCTTGCATTTTTTAGTTATTGTTTCATGGTTTTGCTGCACACTACTAACGTCCGGGTAGCTTCCCATTGATGGTTTCGCCATTTCTCCTTTTACAAACCCTACTCCAATATCTGGACCCCAACCCCTAACCAAACCTCTAACACTAGTCCTACCCTAACCCCAACCCCTCCACCGGATTCTCCAGCCGTGTGTGGTGTAAAAAGAATCTCCCAGGCCGTCAACCTACACCTAACGTTAAAAAACTTTGTTTACGTAAGTAAACCAACGCGGAATGCGTGTAATTGTACCTTGCGTCATTAAAATTTTTTCATGCCTACATCAGGGGCTTCATTTCAAGGGTTTTTTTCCGTGGGGGGGGGGGGGGTCTAAACCAAAAAATCCCTTTCCCTGCCCTACCTAAAATACCTCCCTGGCCTTTTTTTTCCCTTAAAATTATAATTAAAATTGAAAACATTTTTTTAAAAAAAATTTTTTTTTTTGGTAATAGGGTTTTTTTCCGGGGGGGGGGGGGGTCTAAACCAAAAAATGCCTTTCCCTGCCCTACCTAAATGACGTCCCTGGCCTATATTATCCCATAACATTATATATAAAAGTGAAAACATTTCTTTAAAAAATATATTGTTTTTAGGTAACTGGACGTCTATATTAACCATTTTGAAGTTTTGCGAGTTAAAAGTGTTACATCAAATATTCTTTTTGTGTTTACCATTACTAGTTTCATGTACCCTAACTAGTCTGATGTAACTTAAAGTCTCATGTAACATTACTAGTCTCATTTAAATTTACTAGTATCATGTAACTAAAAAAAAATCTTTTTAATTTCAAGTTTATGAAACGATGCAATAATTAGCCTATTAAGTCATAATTAACCTTTTAAGTCATAATTAAGCTATTAAGTAATAATTAACCTTTTAAGTCATAATTAAGCTATTAAGTCATAATTAACCTTTTAAGTCATAATTAACATATTAAGTCATAATTAACCTTTTAAGTCATAATTAACCTATTAAGTCATAATTAACCTTTTAAATCATAATTAACCTATTAAGTCATAATTAACCTTTTAAGTCATAATTAACCTATTAAGTCATAATTAACCTTTTAAGTAATAATTAACCTATTAAGTCATAATTAACGTTTAATAGTATTAACGTTTTCAGGTAGATTTAAGTTTGTTTAAATAGCAAGAACATAAGCTATTTAACTTTAACATACCCATACTCAATTCAGCACTTGATTAGTTTTTATCAATACAAACTAGGCAATAATCGATCAGACTACGTCCTAACAAAAACAATAGTTTCCCAAAAGGCCCATACACACTCTCTAAGTCCCATGTCGAGTTCATATCGTACTAGTGAAATCTACCTGATTCAATTAAAGAATTCCTCAACGAAGACACTTCCCAAAGAGCTTCACATCCAAATGACAGACATTAAACAAACCAGACACACATTGTGTCTGCGAATCCGGTCCCATTGTGGGGGCAAATGGCTGCTACGGGTTCTATACACGACTTTGTAATCCACGTAAGCGTTAAGACAGCAGACCGTAAAAAAGGGGCCAGGCAACACCCGCCATCAAAACAATCGTTTTAACTTTCCTTAAACATGCGACCTGTATTCACGCTGATGGCTGGCCGTTCCCTAACCCGATTCGGGGATTCTCCTGACGCGCTCTGTGGGCCCTGAACTATAATATTAAATTCCGCTACGTGAAGCGAATTTAATTACATATTATTATTATTTTTAATTTGTAGAAATAACCGTCTTAATTAGTACTAGCAAACGTTAAACAATACTAATATTTTTCGGCTATCTTTAAAAAAAAATAATTTATTCCCTAGTTTTATAAAGTGTTATCACAAATAATAATTCTCTTGGTGTGTAGGTATGGCAGTAACGCTGTGTTTTTTTCATTTGGCACGCAAAAGAAAATTCCCAGAAGTTAGCAATAATTTAGATTCTTATAAAGTGCGTTACTTGAAATCATTTCTTGTCAAATAACTTTAGTAGATTGTGAGTCGAAGCCTTACCACCGCTAAAGTTCGGTGGATTATTTCTCGTTGTAATAATGTAGCAGATTCTTTTCTTCTTAAATAAAATCACACAAGCCTACTAGTTTAGTAAATGAAATCCATTGATGAACAAAACGACCCACACACGACCCGTCGCTGACAGTGCACCCTGTCTTGTTAGTTTGACCCGAATTCTACTGAAGTATACCCCATTGTTTGTTGGTGTTGTTTTTTTTTTGGTAATAATTTGTGCTACCCAAAAAAGTAAAAGACGATGGAAGGTCATAATAATTCGTACGCTGGACAGTAAGTAGTTCAGTTAAATTGTAAACGAGAGCTCCCAGCATAGTTACAATGTTGCGGTCCAATGAAGTATCTCAAACGCACTCACCGCTGTTGATTCCATAAATACGCATTCGTTAATGAAATATAGTAAAAGTCTAGCTTCCGTGTAACAATTTGAGGGTGATGGTTGGAGCCGTAGGGAGGGAGGGGGGGCACAGCAAGAAGCAATTATACAGTAATTGTAACTGGATTGAGTTTGTAGGATCATTTAGAATTCTTTAATCTCCATTTCTACACACATATTGGGACCCTTATCACAGAGTGGTCACTGGATGGATTCGGTGACTGGGAGCAAGGCTGGAGGACCGCTCCTCCTGGCGTCTGATGTCAAACTATGCTTTAAGCGTAATAAACCGAATAAACGTAAACAAGTGGGTCACGCAAGGTCATCCAGATCCGCATTGTGGCCTGTAACTGGCGAGACACACGGCAGTTGGTGGTAGTCCCGGAAAACTGAAGGGAAATGAGACAGGTCATCGGAGTTGTTAAAGTTGAGCAACTCGCCCCCCCCCCCTCCCCCTAGTGGCGCAGCTAGTGTAAGAGCCGCCAGGGGCGAGCCAAGATATCCAGATCCGCATTGTGGCCTGTAACTGGCGAGACACACGGCAGTTGGTGGTAGTCCCGGAAAACTGAAGGGAAATGAGACAGGTCATCGGAGTTGTTAAAGTTGAGCAACTCGCCCCCCCCCTCCCCCTAGTGGCGCAGCTAGTGTAAGAGCCGCCAGGGGCGAGCCAAGATGTTCACCATCTAGGGTTGTTGCCGGGCCAACCCAAACGGCCTTCTTTCACGCAAACTAAACGACTACGGTTTCAGGGGCGGTGCATGACCGGGGTGCGCAGGGGGGTAGTCGCACCCGGGCAGTACTGATGTCTTTCTATAGTGGGTCGGCATTGGTTGTTCAAAGAAGGGACGTCAAAAGTTTGGCCCTCCACGGCCCGCACAAACCCTGCCTTCGCCATAGTACAGTTAGCCCTCCACGGCCCGCACAAACCCTGCCTGCGCCATAGTACAGTTGGCCCTCCACGGCCCGCACAAACCCTGGCCTGCGCCATAGTACAGTTGGCCCTCCACGGCCCGCACAAACCCTGGCCTGCGCCATAGTACAGTTAGCCCGCCACGGCCCGCACAAACCCTGCCTGCGCCATAGCACAGTTGGCCCGCCACGGCCCGCACAAACCCTGGCCTGCGCCATAGTACAGTTGGCCCTCCACGGCCCGCACAAACCCTGGCCTGCGCCATAGTACAGTTGGCCCTCCACGGCCCGCACAAACCCTGCCTGCGCCATAGTACAGTTGGCCCTCCACGGCCCGCACAAACCCTGCCTGCGCCATAGTACAGTTGGCCAAAAAATGACATCACCCCCCCCCCCCTGGTTCAGGTATTTTGAGAAAATATCCGGCGGGTCCAAGTGTTAAGCACACACAAAAATGAAGTTAACTTTTTTTTTTTTTCTATAAACAATAGGCTTTTTCTATAAACAATAGGCGGTAGTGTGGTAGAGTCGTAGTGTGGTAGTGCGGTAGTGTGCAGCAGTTATTTTGTCACCGCTTTGAATTGGCTCATCATCACTGCTGAAATGGTTTCCTTAAATACAGTTGTATTCACCAATGAACAGGCTTGATGTAAACTTATATCCTGAATGATACCCTCGGCCACTCTATCATTAATGACACCCTCAGCAATTTTATCATGAATGAAAGCCTTATCCACTTTATCATGAATGACACCCTCAGCAATGTTATCATGAATGAAAGCCTCATCCAATTTATCATGAATGACACCCTCAGTAATTTTATCATGAATGAAAGCCTCATCCACTTTATCATGAATGACACTCTCAGCAATTTTATCATGAATGACACCCTCTGCAATTTTATCCTGAATGACACCCTCATCCACTTTATCATGAATAAAACCCTCATCCACTTTATCATGAATGACACCCTCATCCACTTTGTCATGAATGTAACCCTTAGCCACTTTATCATGAATGTAACCCTCATCCACTTTATCATGAATGAAACTCTCAGCCATTTATCACGAATGACACCTTCAGACATTTTATCATGAATGACACCCTCAGCAATTTTACCATGAATGTCACAGTCAGCCATTTTATCATGCATGGTTCTCATGCATTTTTTCATGAATGACACCCTCAGCCACTTCTTTAAGATTAAATACGAAACTGGCACCCTGATTTGAACTAAGTTTAAAAGTTATTCATGAAGATCAATTGGGAATGTACTGTTGTCATAATAGTACTTATTAGTAGCAATATCATATTGAACTAATGTAATAATTATTTACATGGGGTTAGGGGCGCAATTTTTGGGAGTTAACCCCGGGCGGCACTTAGTCAAGATTCGCCACTGTTTGTGGGGAGTCCACAATCAAGTTTTTTTTTTGGTTGTTGTTGCTTTTTGTGTGTTTTTTTAAACGGAATATACGGTAAGAACGAAATTGATTACGATTTTAGTTTTGGTTTATGAATTTTTGGTTTCAAAACTGGAAAATGAGTCCACAGTCTTTATTTTTGTCGTCAGGTTATTGTTTTATGGTGGGCATGTGCAGAGGTCAAGGGCTGCTACTAGAACAAAAACAATTCTTTAAAAATAAACGTGTTTACCCCCCCCCCCCAATTAGCCCCCACCCAACACTTTTTTTTTTTTTACCGATATCTGTTAACGTCGTAGCAATGGGTCGTTTTATCAATAGCAAAAATCAATCGATTATGGAAGCTAAAAACCTTGATCCATTCGATAACAGGAACAGACGGGGGCGACGATGGATCACAAAGATATCAAGAGTTTTTTTATTAAATGATATGGGCTATCTGAGTATGAATATTCATACACCGTAGGTTCTATAATGGGCACTAAATCAATGATGTCAATAAGGAGCCATGAATAAACTCATTAGGGGA